ATTTTCCCTGGTGGAAAACAGAGTAAGAGCTAGTTGCCCGTCGATTTTTTGTTGACATGGCCTCCCGGACTTTAAATCCAACAGATTCACAATAGTTTGGAAGAAGCGAAGAGTTTTGTAGAGCAGTCATTTCTCTTTCAAATATACAAATACACGTAACATTATGCAAAAATCTGGAACTTAAGGAAAGAAGTGTCTATCTGAACAGAAACGACATTACTTACCGGGCAACCTAATACTCCTGCATGCGATTTCCAACTTGTCTGTTTCCAATTGATCGCCGTTTTTGATAGCTCCCTTTTCTGTTTCTCCTCTGTGAATTTTCTTTTGAACTTCAACCTTCAATAATGCTCACATGAAGTCTTGAGGAGGCCAATTTAAGATAAGCGAATATTCCCTGCAAGCAGCGGTCAATCCCTATCATGATCTAGGCAGATATTTCAACCACCGGTCGCTCATCACCACTCTCTGTTGAAAAGGGAACAAAACTCGATAATGAGACCTAGCTAGTGGATGTTCCATCACCTGTTACAAAGGCATATAACCACTTTGGAGAGAATTGTTTTCTTCCCTATAGGACGTAGCTTCTGTATAGGAGGCCAGAGCTGTTCAGGACTGCTGTCATGCCAATCTTCCTGACTTCACATCCTCAATCAAATGGCTCTCCTATCCCTTGATTTCAAAATGCTGAATCATACTTGCGCTCTATCAGGAGTGCCCAGGAGTAGAGGAGTTGAAGTGTTTCTACTTTTGGAAGAGGACACCCCAGGAACCACACGGGCCACAGTGGAGTTGTGTTCAAGCAACTGGAGCCATGTACACACGGACGGGGGATAAATCAAATAAATGTCATTCCTTTCGATACGTAAATCTGGTAAAAGATTGAGTGTGACCACTTGAGGACTTGTGACTAGATCCACTTTGCGAGAAGATACAAGTTAAGAAACTTTGTGCAGTATTCATGGGAAACCCTGTAGAACTAGTGAAAAGACGTCTAACAGGATCCAGTAACTGTTTTTTCGGAATATTATACAAACGTGATGATTCTAACACAATCTCGCATTATGCAGGAAATCACTGGAAGAATTTCATGGTCGAAGTGATCGACGAGATGGAAGCTGTGTACCTCACCGAAAGACAATTCGTGGACGTACGCCATCGCCTTCAGAATGAAAGTCATACAGGTAAGCAAACTGAGTTCATTTACTTCTAGTTTCTATTCAGTTTGAGTGGTTAAAGGTAAGCACCGGGATAGCCCGACTAGTAGTAAGGGTACCGCGAGGGAAATTGTGGGGCCCGCACCCATATGGGCATGATCTTCGCCGCAGAAATTGCGCGATTAGAGCGTATTTTTTGATAGCCCTGTCTCGCTGTAGTAACACAGCCGACCTTACTGAAGATTAATGCAAGAGATTACGATAAAGTATGTGTGCAGCATGAAGAACATGCACCAGTGTGAACAGTAGGCGGCAAAGAAACCCGAGATGTGCGTCTGATACTCGCGCTCAGCAGCCAGGCAATCAAAGATGGTCTATGCGCGCATGATGTATCAAGCTTGAAGCATGTGCAAAAATTCCCTTATTTGGTTGCTAGCACGGCCACTATTAAATGTTAACGGGCAAAGAAAGGAGTAATCTGATTTATCTTACTTCTTATCGCCAGTGGGGCATTATTCAGAATCTCCACTTCCACTATTACTCCCAACCCAATCCTATCGTAACCCCTCGCTTTCGTAATAGGAAGAAGTCGTCACGGAAATTCCTACGGAGACGATAGAGAAAGTGACATAGTGGACTGAGTAGGAGGTCCTACCCAATGGGACGACAGGTGACGCTTCAGGAGCAGTGGCGTCTTATCAGATTCCAGTAGTAGTGGATATGAACCCTCCATTTCGCCGACGATTATTTCTACAAGGGGGGGGGGGCAATAAAAAAAGGCATTGTCTCCAGACTCAAATGGATTTAATCACACTCTGCTCAGCTCAAAGCGTGTGCTCCCAACTTAGAATTGGAGAGCGCATTTCATTCCATAAGAAACAAATCAGTCAGAGACTGCGTCCCTAGGACACTGTCTCACATTGAATCAATCGAAGAAATTATGTAAGAGCCTCAGGCTGAAGCAGTTACTGTAAGCTTCCCTGAGCTCGACGACGATGCAGTGACCGAAAACGCGGATAAATCTTGGAATGATTCCGTCGACGTAAAATAAACGTTCTGTCTGCAAGTACACCACGGGCATCCTATCTCACGCTCAAACATGCAGGAACTTTCGGAATTTTGTTCAACCGTTACTTTTCAGTGGGAATAAGCTCCGGATTCGCACTCTTTATAAATAGTGTTTGTTTAATGGGTCCAGTATGTTGTTCAGAAGGTTTCAACGAAATCTGGCAGTGCGTCTTGAACGCTTTCCTAAATACACGATAGCCGAGGCTCGCTGCGCTCAAAAATTTTTATGATTTCGTAATTTTCACCTCCATCATTAATCAACCTTCTGTCCCGCAGCGAGAAAAATCCGCTCTCTTTCCTGACGACCCACATCCATCTTATGAAATAAGCGGAGCTCTTTTGAATGACCTCGCCTAAGAGTAACAACAAAACAAAGAAAACTTGTAGACTACTGAACGATTGATATTTATTAACTCCTACTAATTAAGAATCACGTATTTTCCAGAGTTAATGGCACAACGACACCGATGTCTATTACCGGAATAAAATAAAACAACCGAGAGACACGGTCTTCGATCTTAGCATGAACCTAGTTCTTCTGAGTTACAAGATAAACAAAATTAATCGCAAATCAAGAGGAGCAATAATTTTGTTTGTAGATGTGGATTTAAGTATGGATATGAGCAACACCATAACTACCCAGCACCCAAAAAAGAAAAAAAATGCTGCAGCAACTTCATGATAAACACTTCAAGACGAGAAATGACTGGTTACTAGGAAAATTCAAAAATCTAAAGAGCGAGGTAGAAATAATTGATACCATGAGTGTTCCGGAATCAAAAAAGAATCGAAAGCCACGGCAAGTAAGCTCTCACTTCTGAGATCGGATAGTCACTAAATCACTAACAGACTTATTGGCACTATTTACCCTTTACTGCCCCACTCCTCAAGAACTGAGCCGGATTGTTATCGAAATTTGTCCATGACTGTGATTTAGCTAGAAACTTGTTTTAGGGGGTATTTCAACCCGTAGAACACTTCGTGTTCTACGGGCTGACATACCCCCTAAGAGTGTGTGAGTGTTCTATGGTCACCCTCTGAGACAACTTCCTAACCAAATCCACAGTCATGGACAAATTTCGATCGAAATCCGACAGTTTTCGAAGTGGGGCAGTAGAGGGTAAATCGTGCCGACTCATTCTTTAATCTATAGCTTCAACAAATAGATTCGAATGGGAAATACGGCATTGGATAAAATTGGAACAATGCATTCTCATGTCAAATAAGTGGCACATTACAAAATAGGAATGATCAACGCCGGAATATTTCGATGCGCACTTGTTTGTCATGGACAGCGTACTGAAAGTAACTACCGTCAATAATACAATTAATAGAACCGAAACATGCTATTCATTACAACCTTTAAAGTTGCGAAGAGCCGGATGACTTCTGTTAGACTGATATCTTCAGACGTCAATGATGATGGCACTTGCAGCGATTCTGAAAAACTCATTTTAGCAGATTCGAAATGAAATCACATGGAAAGCATTGAAAGTCAAATTTCAATCTGGACATCTTGCCTGGAGCAAAATTTGAAAACGCCAAACTACTATTCATTCTTGCGATAGGTTCTTAATCGCCTAACTTCTTCGTGTAAATCTTGGACTGGTTTCTTTGGTTTCCTTACCTTTCCACGCTAAAACTATCGAGTTAATAGCCTTTATATAAAAACCCATACCAGCTAAGCCATACTTTGACAATTTAAAGCTAAGTACCTGATAAAGCTCGACTTTAGTCAACTGGGGCTTGCCCCCAACCCCTGCCAGTTTTGGTCGAACAGCTAGAGCGCTCGATGACGAGGTTTGTGCGACTTCTGCCGCTAGTTCCATGTAACCCAAGATTTTCTCGAGCTGTTGCATCGCTTCATCCGTGTCAGTTTTGGCTAATGAAGTAGCACTGGCCTGTACCACAGCATATACCTGCAAAATCCTCAAATTTCCCATAATTTCCAGGACTCTATCTAATCGCAAATACTCACACTCTTGATAGAACTAAGTTTATTATATCGCGCTTCTCGGCGCTCTTGCTCTGCCGTGCTAGGTGCTTCCAAGTCGAGTTCAGGATGGCAAAACATAGCTTCTTCTGATGCCATAACGGCAGTTTCCACGGGTAAGTCGTCTGGGAACAGCAATGAGCTGACAATGAGCTTATAGTAGTATTATGACACAAATAACACCTTCTAGGAGATTCTTCAAATACATTATTTGTTTGTGCGAAAATCTGAGCAGAGCAGGTTCGAGCTCATGCCCTACATGTCCTAGACATCCTTTGACCGTTACTGTGCCGTTTTCGCAAAAAACCACCACTAGATGGCATGAGCAGTACCGCACGTCTTTTCTTGTGGTGGCAGCTCTCTGCGTCGCGGTGGATGAATGCGCACCAGCTCGGTTGCACCTAATCCGAAAATAATGATTGAGACGTTTTCACACTAAATGGGAGATGCACTTACAAAAGTCTTTCCCTAGTTGAACCTGTTGACGCTTCTTCGTGCGCTTTGTAAAACGACGTGCACGTTTCCTCGCATACCTCGGTCAGCCAGCGCTGACAAAAGAAAATTTTTATTCCTATCCGAAAATTCGACTGACTACTATTTATTATGAGAATTATCAAACCTGATATTCGTCACGACTAGTGAAATTCCTGGAAATCCGAGAATAATCTTGTGGTCGTCCGGCAGCGCCGTTCTCGGAATGGTTCTCTTGGCAATGCAGCGCCAAAACTTCGTGGGTTGGAAAACACTTGTTACACAGCGGACACAAGATGCTCCCAGCCTCGGCTCCCTTGTTAAGTTGTGCGCGGATTTCAGAAACATCCTCCTCTTTTCTGCGGTGGACAACCCTCAAGTGGCTCCACAAATTCTTCCTTTTCATCGGCCTGCCGCATTCTGGGCAGGTTACAAGAGCAGAAGACATTCTGAACAGGGAAACCAACAGTCCATACTTCCTAAGAGGTGAAACCTTTAGAAACTTACAAATTGAATTGAAAATACTGAAACACAATTCCACGGCCGGTTGAGGGCTCGCCACCGCTGAGCTCGACTCAGTACACTAAAAGCGATATAACTTAGATGGCCAAAAGGGGAATTCGCATTTTGCGTAGACGAGCGCTCAATTTTGCAGAAAAGCCATCAAGATGAAGCACAATAACAGAAACTGGTTTGATTCAGTAAGGCGAAGAGGTGGTGCGACAGTTGCTGCCGCTTTCAGAAATCCAATTTCTGCTGAGGAGCAAAGCCCAGGGTGCGCGGGTGCGCGAACAATCTCGTTTTTGCTTTCACACCTCGCCCTAGTCAGACATGACCTCTTAATTACCACCTAGCACGTGTCACCTCATGCCTCGTAGCAATCGCCTGTGGCGTGACCTCACTTTTCTATTCACAGAGCCACAGACCCAGAATCGTTATCAAAAAAAGAAACAGTGGGAGTTATGTTTGGTATTTCACCTAGTTTTGGTCATTTTTCTCGCTCAAGAAAACGTTCAGTGTGAAAAACTTACACAAGTTCCTATTAAATCAAAGTATTTCCTATAAAATTCCCCAGCAATTCTCCCACCACTTTGGCAAAATGGCGATCTCGCGACTTTGCGACTGGTGCCCCTTTTTTGCCAGGGCAGAAAAACTCCAATGGAGACGAAAATATACTCAAATAGTGAATTACGCTTCATTCCCTACGTATTTCAGCAATAAATTAACCATGAGTGGCTGGTTACCTGTGTAGAACAATGCCGAGGCTAAGTTTATTCACTACCACTGGATACCAACGAAAAAATTAAGTGACTCACTTGAAAATATTAGATTTGTGATACTTTTGCGGAACCAAAAATGACAGTGAAGAAGTGTGAAATCATATCAACACTGAAACATAATTGAAACATGAGCTAAATTGTGTCCATTTGGTGAAAGTTTACGTATTCAATATAGAAGTAATTTTCTTGAATTCAACCCAACAGACGTGAAACGTCATACTAACACTTGAAACAAATTTTCTTAATCTATCACAAGGAAAGAGATTCAAATTCGAAATGCTTTTGAAATTAACTCACTCCTGCTTCGTAACAATTTAGTTTAACTTTATGTAGCTTTGGAATTTGTTAGCTTGCTTTGCTTCTTGTTTCGTTTGATTGCTTTATGTACCGCATCTTGAAAACGTATTAATGTAATGAAGAACCATCTCAGAGAAACACGACCTCCCAAGGATACTTGCCACTGAAGGCGAAACGATGTATCAACAGATGACAAAAATAGCAGGAGGAGAAGAAATAAAATGAGTGCATACATTAAACAGAATGAAAACGACGTAGTGGACTGTGACTAGTGCAACTTTATACCACGAGAACAGCGAAGAGTGGAATGGATACCTTTTGAACCCCTTAAACACACTCCTATTTATAAAGAGAGCGAATCCGGAGCTTATTACCACTGAAAAGGAACGCATCGTTTTGTACTCCTTCTGACTAGTAAAGGACGCCATTCGTTACGGGTCCCACTGCCTCCTGCTACAGTGAACCCTTCAATGTGGAGCGGGGAATCCGTGAGCCAGGGGCAGTGTAGCCAGTCTAGGGGGGTGGGGGGTGAGGGCAGTCACTTGACATGCGTGAGAAGCTGGAATGTTCGAATTCAACCGCGATCACATGGGATCCCCGCGGGTTAAGGCAGTGGGTCCC